TCATGCCTGTAAGCACTTTGGGAGGCCAAGGTGAGCAGATCACAAGGTCAGGAGTTTGAGACCAGCCTGGACAACAGAGTGAAACCCCGTCTCTACTAAAAATACAAAAATCAGCCAGGTGTGGTGGCAGGTGCCTGTAATCCCAGCTACGTGGGAGGCTGAGGCAGGAGAATTGCTTGAATCCGGGAGGTGGAGGTTGCAGTGAGCCAAGATCATGCCACTGCACTCCAGCCTGGGCGACAGAGCAAGACTCCATATCAAAAAGAAAAAAAAAGTTATACAGTTTCATTTTTTTATCTAACAAATGCCCACTATTTGCCAACAAAACATTGTTCCAAACCCTTCAAGACACCAAGATGTTGTCTTCACCTGGGCAGCCTTTGTGGCATGGGTTAATTTTCATTCTTTTCAGCTTAGTGAATGTATGAAAAGAAACTGGAGAAACAGTCATCACCTTGAAATGATCCACGTTTTACAACAAACATAGAATATGTAACTTAGCAAGACTCTGATTAGAACATTTTTTAAAAAAATTCTGTCCCAGAAGATTGTTAATACAAATAGGAACATATGCTCTACTTTAAATACTTTATTATAATTTAGAAAATAAGCATTCATGTCTTGTTTAAAGATAATTTAAACGCCACTGAGGAAAGCAGATGTTAAATTTCATATTTATGGAAAGATGATTTTCAAAATGCCATTAGAGTATATATTAAATTATATATAAAATATTTTAAAAATATTTTCCAGTGTTGAAAATTTTAATGTATCACTTTTATATTCCTTTCAAGTACTGCATAAAAGCTGATCCACATTGTTTAAATTTCCTATGTAATTTCGGGAAAATGGAAAGTGGAAAAGAAGCCAGTGTTCATATCCAATTGGAAGGCCGACCATCCATTTTAGAAATGGTAAGTCTAAAACATATTGACAACTTGGTGGCTAAGTTTACATACAATCTATAAATTCAGTCATATAGGCAGGATAGTATGAAGGCATTCAACAAATAAAATTTTGGAGTAAAACTCTAAAACTATATTTCTGTCACTTCAACTAAGTGAAATGGCTTTAGAAATTAACAGGTAATAAAGGCTAAAATAGGCCAGGCATAGTGGCTCAATCCTGTAATTCCAGCACTTTGGGAGGCCAAGGCAGGAGGATCACTGGAGGCTACGAGTTCAAGACCAGTTGTATTCCTAGGTAGATGTGTGGTGTTATTTCTGGGGTCTCTGTTCTGTTCCATTGGTCTCTATATCTGTTTTGGTTAGCCTTGTAGTATAGTTTGAAGTCAGGTAGCATGATGCCTCCAGCTTTCTTTTTGCTTAGGATTGTCTTGGCTATATGGGTTCTTTTATGGTTCCATATGAAATTTAAAGTAGTTTTTTCTAATTCCATGAAGAAAGTCAGTGGTAGCTTGATGGGAGTAGCCTTCGATCTATAAATTACTTTGGGCAGTATGGCCATTTTCACGATATTGATTCTTCCTATCCATGAGCATAGAATATTTTTTCCATTGGTTTGTGTCCTATTTCCTTCAGCAGTGGTTTGTAGTGCTCCTTGAAGAGGTCCTTCACATCCCTTGAAAGTTGGATTCCTAGGTATTTTATTCTCTTTGTAGCAAATGGGAATTCACTCATGATTTGGCTGTCTGCTTGTCTATTGTTGGCATATAGGAATGCTTGTGATTTTTGCACATTGATTTTTGTATCCTGAGACTTTGCCGAAGTTGCTTTTCAGCTTAAGTAGTTTTTGGGCTGAGACCATGGAGTTTTCTAGATATACAATCATATCACCTGCAAACAATTTGACTTCCTCTCTTCCTATTTGAATACCCTTTGTGCTTTCTTTTTTTCTTTTCTGAGATGGAGTCTCGCTGTGTCCCCCTGGCTGGAGTGCAGTGGCGCGATCTCGGCTCACTGCAAGCTCCGCCTCCCAGGTTCCTGCCATTCTCCTGCCTCGGCCTCCC